TTTTGTCTTACGAGAAAACGTAAGATGTGTAGATTTCCATTGAGAAATGGTTTTCAGTTCTGAACTATTTCGGGAAGAACTCACACAATGGTTTTCCCTAGCAGAGGTCCAATTTATGCTGCAGAAGAGACTCAGATGCTAATAAACTGGTATTGACAAGTGTGATAGATGCAGCTAGGTACTTAGTGAGTGCTGGAGAGCAAAGTTGATTGCATTTTACAGTCTGTGTATTTCTCTGTTTATTGCTTGTATTCTGTCATTAAGCAAACAGGTTCCTAATATAGCAAATCTGTCTAATCAGTAAAGCAAGGGAGAAAAGAACCAGAAGCATCATTAATTATGACCATTTGGCTGCAGCCTGGACAGTCTGTTGCTCTTGGATTGGGAAACTTCCTCTGGTTTTATTTTCTGGAGGTAGAGCAGAAACTGGCCTTTCTTGAGCATGGAGGAGAGTAGAGAAATGTTCCATGCCCTGCTGGCTGACAGCTGCCTAAAAACCAGAGATTAAACACGGGCTTCTCTACAGAAATGGAGTCCTCAGGCAGCAGAGGCTAGGCTCTGAGTGGGTGCGCTTTGAAGTCTCCAATTCCATAAACAGGGCAAGCATGCTGCTCCAAAGCCTGACCCATCCCCGAGTAGGGGAGAGCCTACTGTGGGCAGAGCTCATGTTTGCATGCGGTGGCCGATGAGTGGGCTTGACCGAGAGCTGTGAATTATGTGTGTCTGTGCATTCTGTACAGGAAAGCCATTGGCACCATGGCAGGCTTTCCAAATGCTAATCAGAGGAGTAAAAGGCGGGAGAGTCATCATTCTGACTCCAGATAACGGAGGTTAACAGCATCTAATGCATTTATTAACCCTCTAATGTCAGGGACTGGCGAGGTCTGGCCCCGCAATTACAGTGCCCTGGAAATTCTATTACGTGATATTACATCTATTGTGGGTGACCGCCAGTGACAATTGTATAACACTGCTGGAGAGACAAGGCTTATGAAGTTCCTAAAGAATAATTTCCCTGCTTTTCCAGAATGACAGCAAGGCTATTGGTTTGGGAATAGGTTTCTCTAGTATCCTTTTCATGTCCCTATTCTCGAGATGAAAACCTCGTGCTACTGCGTTTTTTGATGGTAGTATTTCCACCAACTTGGAATCAGACAGCTTCCCCCATAACCACATAACTAGGAATTAGTGGTTATGAAACACTCTTTTATAAAAGAGATTAAATAATCATTTTTCAACATGCTGTAACAATGGTTAAAATTGACTTTTAGAAAAATGAAATCCATTCTCTTCTCTTCTTCTTTATCGCTCTCTCTTTTCAAACAGATATCTTACTCTAGAGCCACTAAGTGTAAGGTGTGATGTCTAGATAGATCTGGGCTGGCCAAGCTCTATGTTGGGTCCCTGCATATCCTATTAATGAGCAGGGCTGCAGGGCTCGCAGACAGGACCTTGAGCGCTGTGCCAGCTCTTCCATAATCACATTCTTGTTTTTACGGGTTTAGGACTCAGCAATAAAAGGTGCTCTTCCAGTTTCTAACTTACCTTATACCTTACAAGGTCTCAGAATTTTTTTTTAAATTTTCCTGGGACCATCCCAATTTTCATCAACTGGGACAACATTTAAAGCATGTAAGTACTCTTTGCAATAGTTGAAAGTGGGGGACGCCCTGTAATTTTATCTGTTTTCATTTATCATACCTGACTAGCAAGACAGTGATAGCTTGATGATATTTTCAAAAATGCTCAGGATAAAAGCCTTTAAAATGTGGAAATAACAGGTTGTTCAGGCTTCTAAAATAGGCTTTAAGAGCCAGATTTTCTTAAGTGGACTCTGGCTCTGCATAGGTAGATTTCTGACCCTCAGTGGTCACTGGAGGGGTTCAGACAGCATACAGGACTTACAAGCATTTAACCAGGTAGACATACACAGGTCTAAATTCCAAGGCTCTGCCCCTCCATCTGTAGCTTACAAACTCTTGGAGGCACGGGACAGCCAATGTGACAATGCTCCACCTGTAGATGACACCGTTCAGTCTAGGCAGCAGACCCACTGCCTCTCATTTCGTAATATGCAACACAGATTTGGTGTGGGATTTCCAAAGATCTCATGTCTATGTGCAGTCTTTTGATTCTGTTACCCAGGTGCCACCTGCCATTCCAATGGCAGACAGGTAACATTTGCCCTTTGCCTTCTACTCAGACTCACAGACCTTACTGAGGTCTGTACTAGGTTCAAGTGGAATTCCATGACGGCTCTGCTCCACCTCTGCAGTTATGGGCATTTCTACCAGCACACAGACCTCTTGATGGGAAGCTGAGTTAATAAACTATGTAAACAGAGTATTTGAAGGCCTGTGTTCGTGGACTGCTAAGCCTCTGGAGTTCCAAGTGCTTCCGTGGGTGGGGAAGGTGTTTAACAGAAGTTAACATCGTCTCAGAGCATCTGCAGGGGCCTGGCTGCACAGTATTACTTTTACCTAGCAGCTCATCCAGTTATGCCAACCAGAATGGTCCTCAAGGTAAGAGGAGCTTGGAGCTGCTGCCTCTAGTTTTAGTGAAGCCAGTGGGGCTACAGGGAGACAAGGCCAGAAATTGACCATTTCCTTTATCTAGAGGCCAAGAAGATGCCCGCTTTAGGGGAAGACGAACCCAGAGCCTTCACAGACTCGAAGCCGGTATAAATTCATTTTCTTGTGTGATTAAACAGTTATCCCAGCCATTCTCAGATGGAAGGAAAGAGCCTGGGAATTTAGACCCATGCCTATATTCCTGGTTGTACACCTGTAATCCCGTACACAGCTGAACTCTCAGTGACAAGGGAGGACCAGAAATCTACCTCTACACATCCAGACTCCACTTAAGAAAAACTGTGAAGATAGAGGTCTTTTCTAGTCTATTGGTGGAAGCCCCTTTATAGTCATTTAACAATAGTGGGCATCGTACTAGTACTTAGGTTCCTGAAGGCACTAAGAGCCATGGCTGGTGCATGTTGCAGATCGTGTGAGGGAAGCACGGCACGCTGGCTGGTGCCAATCACACAGAACAGGTCGGAAGGAGGCTCACTCAGCCCTTAGAGCTCTTAGAGGCCACTGTAGTCTAGGACACTGAGCGCTTAGTTGTGACCACAAGAACAACTTGAAGGCGTAACGTGTCCTGGACAAGACATTTCAGTGAACTTCTTAGTTATGCAAACGTCCTTAGCGAGAGTTTTTGTGGATTATGGCCTAGAAAAGAATAGACAGAATGTGATGTTTTAGGGCCATTTTGGTGTCTGGGCACAATTCCAGTCTTGAACAGAAATAAAACATGTAAAGTTCTACACACTATTCTCTGCAGATAACAATGCAATGGACCAGATTTGCTATTAATATAGAATAAAAGTAGGCTCTTGAGTAAGGTTCAATTCCTCTTCCAGTTTCCCCTCAGATCTTCTTATCCATAACATTTAGTGACCTTTGAACAGCCTGGGGATGCTTCACAGTGTCTTATTCTTGATGCTTGTTTAAAGGTTTCTATTTCATATTCACAGCTGACATATGCAAATATAGGTAAAGATTATGATGCCTCCCAAGTAGCATTATGGTCAATGAATTACTCCTTGGGTGAACATGCTGTCATTGCAGCCTGGCATGTCTTCAGCAAGTTGCAAAATTCTTCTCGCGACAGGCATCCTGCCGGTGCCATTCCCACACAGCTGCCTGGCCAGACAATCCTTGATTCAGGCATGATGGTTAACCAGGATCGTCTCATTGGCAAGCGAGCTCTCTGTCTTTCAACGCCAATGGGCTTCTATTTTGGGGGGGGGGGGGGGGGGGGGAGGGCGGGCAGGAGTCCTGGGAGGGGTTCTCTGTGTGGATTTTGGGATGGGTAGAGCCCGAAGAGTCAAGCATGCCAGGATTGTCTGGAAGAAACACTGTAATGCCGTGAAGAGCACATTTTCATTCAAGAGTTTTTGCATCCTGTCTAAATCCTGATTCTACAAGTAAATTGCTGTATGACCTCGGATAAGTCAATTAGCTTCTCTGCACACTAATTGTTTTCTTTTACAAAACAAGAGGGCTGTACTGGGTCAGCAGTTTCATCGTAATTGTTTGAGCAATAGAACCTTTCCTTCAACTCGATTCTCAGGTAGAAGCCCGATGGAAACTCGTGCCAGTTGCAAAGAAATAGGGAGCTTAAAGCCTTCACAGCTCAGCCCCCTTGTTACTGGCCTAGAAGCAGCTTTAAGATTGCTGAATCGGAGATCTGTAACGCCCTGCGTGATTCTCAAGGGCACTGTCTGCAAGAGTCCCTGCCCTGTGCCTTAGCCCCCAAGCCGTGAGAGGTTTGCTCACTCAACGGCAGCCCCCTGAGCCCAGGGACCACATTCTTTTTGTCATATCACCATATGCCCAGCATGGGAAAATAGCTTGGTAAGTGTTCGTTGACTGGGGCGACTAATAAATAAACAAATACACAAACAAGCTTCAGGAAGACCAAACTATATTACTAATAAATGGGATTTTTATTGCAACATTTTTACCTAGAAGGCACTTCCTCAAAATTAACATAAAAAAATATAAATGAATTCAAAATGCAAATAACTTCACAACTTTTTTTTTAGGTAACCTAGTCCCATGCTACCCCTACTAGCCGCAGGCAGCTATTAAGCCTTTGAAATGGGGCAGGTCCTAATTGAGATATGCTGTGTCAAAAACACTAAATTTTGAAGATAAAAAAAAGAAAAAAGGGAATGTAAAGTATCTCATTAATAATTTTTTGTATTGATTATATGTTGAAATGATATGTTAAAATATGATCAAAATTATCTTCACCTGTTATCTCCTTACTTACGTGGTTACTAGAGAATTTAAAATTACATATGGGGCTCATAGTTGTGGCTCACGTATTGCTATCAATGACACTGCCCTAGACAGTTGGTTAATGGATCGGTAGTTACTCTTCCATTTTATGTGTCAGTGATTTTGTGTGTGTGGTGTGTTTTTGTCTTTTCCCAGGCACAGAAGCTGAAATCCAATGTGTCGGGCAGTACACACCTCTGTCTTTCTGATGTAAGTTGTATTTCCTTCTGGGTCTCCCTGCATTTATAGAGACAGAGCCTTTGGGCCCTGGGGCAGGGTACGATGTGAAGGATTCAAAGGCAGCAAACTTTCAGGTCCAGCAAAAAATCTAAGGCAACCTGGAGGCTCCTCTGCCGTTTGAGCAAGATGCAATCCTGAGTTCTAGTGCACAAAGTTAGAACTAAGCGTGGGACCTGGGATCCTCATCTCAGAACTGGACCCAGCATGAATACCATTGTCCCAATGCCATGAAGAGTCCCTGTGATCGTGGTCAGGTAAAATCACCTGGCGCAGAGAAGATACATGACAGCTCTCATTGCTTACCAGATGCCTTCTATCTACAGTTCCTTTGACCTACATAGCAACCCAGAGGTAGCTAGGGCAGGCCACATTACTCTCCCCAATTTACAGGGGAGGAGATGGATGATTCTGTCACGATCATAGCTCATTGTGACAGGATGTGGCATTAGGTGATTGAGTGTTACTAGGGGGTGGGGATGGAAGAATCCATCCTTGGGGGAAGGACAGGTGTTCTGACTGGGAGTCTGGAAGCCTGGGTTCTGGTCTGGGCTCTCCAACTTACAAGCAAGGGCAGGCTCCTTCATCTGTAAAATCTAGGATTGATCTGGCTGATGGAGGGAAAGGCTACTGCCTGCTCTAGCACGATTTGTGACCCATCTCCACATGAATCGGTCCTTGCCTGAGCAAGTTTTCTGAGCTGATTCTTCCTGCCCTCCTTCCATGATGAGGAGAGACAGTAGCATTCCTCCTCAGTCAGTGGTACCCAGAAAGAGAAGGATTCCATGTTGCACAGCTCCTGGGAGATCTGGGGAGTGGGCGTGAAGAATGGCAGGGCTGTCTGGGCTCAATCTCTTCTCACAAGTGGATTTTAATAATCCATAACAGAGGTGAAAGAAGTAAGTGTGAGCCAGACAGTTTATCAGAAGTATCCAGTTCTCATCTAGATTCATGATTCCTTCCCATAAAACTACGAGTCAGTGAATCGCAGTCTCAGTGATAAAATATTGGGTCAGCTTTGGTGAGCGGTATAGCTAGTTGGGGTGGGGGTGTGAGAGAGAAAGAGTGTGGTTAAAATGCATTGAGACAGAATGAATACCTGCAGTGGGTGATAATGAAAACATTCTTTCTTACAGCGTGATTTTGAAAAGGATGGTCTCGCTGGTGCTTCCAGCCACATAACCACAAAATCAATGGCTGCTCCTCCAAGCTGCGGTCTGAGCCCACTGCTGGTTCTGGTGGTAACCGCCCTGTCCACCCTATTATCTTTATCTTTGGCAGAAACATCGTAGCTGCATTTAAAAAACGATATGGACATGTAAAAAGACAAAAACCAAGTTATCCGTTTCCTGTCCTCTTGTATATCTGAAATTCCAGTTTTAGGAGCTCAGCTGAGACACTACTAAAACAGTTTTATCCAACTGGAACTTTTTTCTTTTTTTTTTTTCTTTTTTTTAAGAAAGCTTCTTGTGATCCTTAGGGCTTCTGTGGAATACCCAATGCAGTGCTACATTCCAAACTCAAAAGGCTTTGGGGCATGCTGTATTGTAAAGGGACAGTTTGTAAGTTTAGCTGTAAAGCAAACTGGGGCCGTGTTTTTCATGATGATGATGATAATTTTAACAACTTAACTCTGGCCTTCACTATCTAGAGGAGTTAGTATTTCTCAAAGATCTTGCATATCTCATGTAATGGCTTTGATTTCTGATGACGTAACAGCCGCCTAACATAGATGCCAGCTTTTTTGTCACAAAGTGAAGATTCTCATCAACAGAATCTTGGTAGACTCTGTGCAGACAAGCTTGCACCAATGTTCACCTTTCTATACGTACTAGCATTTTCTTCGCTAATGTTTATGTATTGTGAACAGTTCTGCTCTCTCCTCCAAAAGAAAAAACACCCGTCATATCCAAATGTAGTGTCTGTCTTCTAGTCAAAAGAGAGAGTGAGAGTGGATGTGCAACTTGACAGTACCTTGATCATTGGAGGACACTCTCCTAAGCCTTACCTGAGTTAGAAGCCCTTAAACTAACAAGAGTCCAGTATAGCTGAAGCATTGCTCTAATACTCTTTACACGTATGAGGTTATATGTAGAAAAAAAAGATTTTACTACTAAATGATTTCAACTATTGGCTTTCTATATTTTGAAAGTAATGATATTGTCTTCATTTTTTACTGATGGTTTAATACGAAATATATGGAGCTTGTTCTCCTCTCCTAAGTAGTGTTAGCTCCAATATTAACTTCACAAATACAGCTCTTCAAAAGCAGACTCTGAGGAGCCTCATCCTTTAGCAGAAAGCTCTGCATCACGTTACTGTGGACAGGCGGGAGAAACAGAGCAGCCAAGCATTGTCTTTTATCATTTCTTGAAATGCAAGCGTGCGTACCCGTGAGAAAGCCGGTGGCCACTTGTAAATGTTCTGCAATGTCTAATGGCACCCTTGCCAGCTGACACAGTCCAGTACCTTGGTTTTCATGTTCCCTAACAAGGGCAGCTTTGATTGGGACAGGGGCTGGGGACGTGCTGCCCTCTTTTCTGAAGCAGATCCATGCCAGGGTACACAGCTTTTTTCTAAGGATTGTCTTTGCTCCCAGCAGTGAAATGTTGGTCACCGTTTAGAGCAGTTTGGTCTGAAATTCATCAGAAATCTGCTTGCATCTTGTTCTGTGTTCTCCGTGACAGACTGTGACTGATTATGTGAAAAAGAAAGAAGGTTTGTGGATCAAGAGGATCAACATTAGGTCTGTGGAGATGAGTTGATGGGCACAGATACACAGAACAGAACAGGACTCGACATAAGCATCTGGCTTGTTAACTGCACATCACCTTCCATCATTCTCCTCCTTAAACCCATAGACCCTAAAGTGCACTTGTGAAGTCTGGCTGAAATGGCAAGATTCAGAATCTACAATGATCAAGTCCTAGTGGCCGTGGTTCTCCAAAACTGAGTAGAGAAGAGGAGATTCCTTAACAGAGTGCTGGGAGCATTGACTTGCTTCCAGCATCAGTAGAGGGGCTGGCGGAGGAAACCCATGGTGCACGTTTCATACTGACCCCCTTTGCCCGCTGATATTTGCCTTGTAAGAATTAATCAAATTACTGGGGTGGGAAATCTATTAAATCCAAGATAAAGGCATAGTCTTTTAGCTCTATTGGTGTTTGAAGTACATTTATGTCCAAATGTTAATAAACATAAATGTATAATACTAAGTACTGACTTTTTTCACTTCAAAATGTTTTCAAGAGAAATTCGTCAAACAAATTTGATTAGTGAAAGGTTTCGTGAAGACTCTTACTTTGAATAAACACATTAAATGTGTTGAAATATTTGGAATTCCAGTCATCTATGAAAGCTTCTCTCTCAAGGAGCATATTTTGTTTTAATTAAGGTATCTCTATGTATCTACACTGGACTAATTGCATATGGGTCGGATTCTATGTGATCTACTGTAGAAAGCTATTGACTACTTCTGCAGTGAACAGCAGCTCTAATTAGCTTCAGATGACCAAAGAGGAAATGGGAGTTACCAGAGCTAACAAGGGTAGCTTCAGTGAAGAACGCGTGGATGTGCAACACATAAATTAAATTTTGAAAAGCCTCATCTATCACCAATAAAGATCTCATTTTTCTTCAGAGATAGAAGCAAATTAGAGTTACCCAATCCTCAATTTGAAAATAAATTGCTGATTAAATAAACAGGGGGAAGGATGTTCAGTGACAACACATTGGAGAGATTCTTATAAAATCATGCCGAGCCTTTCTGCCATTCAGTGTGATCTCAGTTTAACATGGTGGCCCTGAAACACCGTCATTTGCCCCAGGACTGGAGCAGGCAAGTGACAAATCCTTTACCTATCTGACTTCCTCACTTCCTTGACTATCTCACTTCCTTGCAGTGCTGAAACTAAAAATGATTCACTGCTTCCTCTCCTTCAGCTCCTGGGTTTAGGGACAGGGGCTCTTTGTTGGGGTTTGCACCTCCCGCAGAAAGCATTTCATTGCACTTGATTTTGATGAAACAAAACAGTAATTCATGTCTGTGTAGACCATGACTCCCAGATCAAGTCTAGCCACGCCCTACTCATTTCAGAGAAAAAAAAAGGTAAGACTGCCAAACTAATTAGAAGCACATTCATTCCACTTTGATGTTGACTCTCTTTGACCAATAGATGTTTGAGTATCTTTTTAATAGAGCACACGAAGGAAAAAGTGCACAATAAAGAGAGGGAATTCAGAATGCCACCTGAATATTTATTTTTCCATATCTGATTTTCTTCAAGCCTCTAGTAAAGAAAAATGTAAGTTGAAAATTATGTAGGTTATTTTTCATTATGTGTAGCAAACTGTAGTCAAAGTGTGATAGGAGGTTCCGTTAAAAAAATTTTTAACAATTCTTTATCCTGTAGTAAAAAATTTCTTAGAAGCTGTGTCTTTTTGTTCATCAAATATAGGACAGGGCTCCTCCAGAGCTGCTGTGGCCTTTGACTTGGTCTATATTAAGACTGTTCCTGTCTTGCATACACTCCGAGGATGGGTTGTCTCCAGCTGCATCCATTTCCCCACCTGCCTCAGTACTCTAAGTCAGACACTCCCAAACACTCCATCTGCTGAACTAGGAAAGTGGGAGAGCGGAAGCAGTTTGGAGTCAGTGTAAAGTGCTTGGGAAAAGAGATGTAAGAGCAGTGGGAGTTTATATAATTAGCAAATTCTTTTCTTAGAATCCAGCAAAACTGTATTTCTGTTGTTATTATTTACAAAATAGTGGCCTCAGAGGAGCTATCTTTGGGAAAAATAAGTTTTCATTCATGTAGTCAGACATGCATGACTTATCTGAGTCAATAAACTGTGGGCCAGAAAAAGAGGTGCTTACATGAATTCACATTTTCTCATTCTCAACGCTGTTCCTGGTCTCCTGGATTCATACCCCCGTGATCTCTGTGGTTTCTGCTCTTTGATAAAGCAGATGAGACCATGTGAGACCCATCTTTGCAAGAAAGACCGAAAAGCAATGGCAACAGATGGGAGTGAATTACCAACGGCCCGGGCACCGTGATGGCAGAAGGGCCTGTCTGCACTGAGCGTGGGGAGTTTGGCGAGATGGAGCAAAATCAAGGAGCAGTAAGAGGCCGCGTGCCGTGGGTGCCTGGATCATGCAGTCTGATCTAAACGGGAACCTTGTTCTAGCGAAACAGCCAGAGTTCCCTGACTTAGACAGCGGTGCCTTTGCAAGAAGCAAGCCAGAGTGAATATCTGGAAGACAGAGGGAGGAATGTTTTTTCAGAAATTCTAAAACAGCTGGGATTGTGGTTAGATACCCTTAGAAGCTATGTTTTTCTCTTACCCCTAAGATAGGCATCTCATGTATAGACCTGACACCTCTTGACTTTGACACAGCTTTTACTCTCAAGTGACCATTTGTTTTAAGTCTGTTATCTAGAATTCTTCATGAGGACTTTACCTCTAAAACATATTCTCACTGCAGAGGCCTTAAATCTGTGAGTTTTGCCGCTGCCTCCATCCTGGGATGTATTTGGTGGGACATTTCATTTCGCAAGGAGAGTTGTCTTAAGATACTGGCTGATTCCGTTCTCATTGATATTGATTACCAATGCCCACAGCCCCCACCCTTGTTTTTTATTGCCTAGGTGTTTAACAGGGTCCCTTCCCATCAAGTCTTCATCCTAATCACTCAAAATTCAGTCCTACCCAAATTAATTCTGGTCCCGTCAGATGCCCATTTTACATCATGGCTTTTTGAAGACGGAGAAGCCTCTCTCAGGAGCCGGGCAATCTGAAGATGATGCTAATTCCCCAAGTAGGAAGTTCGTCTATCCAACCCTCCCCTGCGCCCCGTCTTCTTAGCTTTGGGATTGTCTTGTCAGCTCCATCCTCACCAGGCACGCCTTTGTTGCTCCAGGGATCTCTGATGAGCTTCTCCTCCCTCCCAGAGATGGCACGGAGCACGGGTTGTTCAGCAGGATGCGCCACCTGCACTTCTGATTGCTCTGAGACCCAGCCCAGAGGGGTGGAGAAGGCACACAAACCCTGTTTCAATAAACTGCCTGCAGAGAACAGCAGACTGCTAGCAGAACTCGAGGTCCCAGCCCCTGAGGTCTCCAGGCTCATTTGACCAGCACAGCTGTGACTTCGGCTGTCTGCCTCTGGCAGGTGCCAATATCGGCATCTTGTCCCACTGCCACGGGAAGTTTATTTTTGCTCAAGGGCAGCTGCCAAGCCCAGCACCAGCATCAATAGAAGGTTTTCTCTGATTTTCTTCTCTTCATCCCAGGCCGGGCTTTCTTACCAATCCCTATTTTCATTTTGTAGAAAGTGCCAAGAAACTAGCCAGAGACTATCAGCCCCTTCCTTCGTTTTAACATCTCTTCTCACTCCCTCAGCCTTCCTAGCAGGAAGCATGACCCAAAGTAGGTACTTAAACAACACTGGGTGCCTGAAAAACTTGGGACATTGAAGGGCTTCAACATTCTGTAATACAGCAGCAAGAACTGGAACATCTTGCCAGTACTTGGCTGTTATACATCGACACTGAAGGTGTCCTCCTGAGCTTGTTGAAGGTGACCTGGAAGAAGGGGTCTAGGAAAGCATTCAAATCAAAGCAGCTTTAAATCTGCCCGCTGTGTTCCCTGCTGAGAGATGAAAAACTAGCATTTGTCCCCAGGAGGAGCTGAGCGTGACCAGCCAGTCCCAGCAGGTTGACTACATACACCAAGAAGGACAGGACCCAAAATAGGATTGACTTTGGGGGAAATTAGCCAGTGAGTCTGCTGTTATTTTAATCTGCCTCATGTGCAGGACGCTGGAAAGAAAGATGCACCACTCCACCAGTCCCAGACCAAGCCCGGGGATGCAGCCTCTGCCGGCATCCTGAGAAGCAAACTCAGGTACTTGACAATTTAGCACAGTTGTTGAACATCTACGCTAATTGAATGAGCCATCATTTGGAGCTGAAGCCCCACCAAGAGTAACTCAAGAATATAGGGCCCGGGGCTGGTCTGGTGGTGCAGCGGTTAAGTTCGCACATTCCGCTTCAGCGGCCCGGGGCTCACCGGTTCGGATCCTGGGTGTGGACATGGCACCGCTTGGCAAGCCATGCAGTGGCAGACGTCCCACATAGAAAGTATAGGGAGATGGGCACAGATGTTAGCTCAGGGCCAGTCTTCCTCAGCAAAAAGGAGGATTGGCGGCAGATGTTAGCTCAGGGCTAATCTTCCTCAAAAAAAAAAACAAAGAATATAGGGCCCTCTGACAGCAGTTTAGGGAAACACCCATCTTTTCCAGATTGGCAGAATCCTTCACTTGACATCTTTCAGAGAATCTAAATTCTCTTTATAAATAGTCCATGAAGCTGTTTTTCAGACTTGATCTCTGGAGGTAAGTCCCAGTCCATGTGGATACAACAGCCCACCCAGCTCACTCCGTATGGAGAAGACAGCACACCCACCCTCAGCCTGAGCCCCAAAAGCTACCTCACAGAACCAAGTAGGGTCACCCTCTGAGCCTCAGAGGGCTGTGAGCCTGGCCGGGTAGGCATGCCAGTGGAGCTGTCCCAGCTGTGAGGGCCCAGCCGTGGTACAGTGGGAATAGGAGACACCAGAGGCGCTTCAGCCGAGGAAGGCACTCAGCAGTTCTCATTCAATATGGCGAAACTTTGTGCACAATGACCCCTGATGCCTGCCAAACATGGTGTATATCCTAAGACTTGAGTAGAGTAGGATGGAGGATTGAACAACCAGTGGATACCCTGGGTACAGGAAACGCAGGGCTGTGACAGGTGGGTAAAGGTCTGTCATCTGTCGCTGGGGCTGCGCAGGGCATCTGTCACAGGTACAGGTGAAGGTTCTCTGGGTCTTCTTGGCACACTGGCTCTTAAGGCCCCATTGATAAAGCTGCCCGTCCCTCTCTGAGTCACAACTGCTGCAAGGCTGTATGATCCAGCGTTATCTTCCTGGCATGCAGAGCGTGCTTGATCTGGAATTTGTGTTTTTATTGTTTAGCTTTAGCTGAAGGCGTTTCTGAAATGTGGGGAAAAAAAGAAGAATGGAAACCATAGAACCAAATCTCAGATTGCCCTGCCTTTTTTGGCTGGGGTCTTAGAGTCATCAGACATTTCTAATGTGCTTTTCTGGATTCAGAAATAGCTGATTGTCCTCAGAGGGTTGAAGAAATGGCTTCAGAAACCTGAAATCCAGGGCCTTATATTTCTCCTAATTATCTTTTCTCTTCTCTCTTTCTCCCCCAAGGGAGGGGGAAAACACTTCACCACAGAGTTTGCTTTGAAGAGTTTTCTCATCCTCTGTGATTACCCCTTGATGTTGAAATTATGTTCTCTTGTTTAATCCAGCTCCTGCTGAGAAGTTGTGTGAGATTTAGGATGTGGGATTCTTTACTTGTTCTCTTCTGGATGGCGTTGCATTTTCACTCTTAACCCGAGGGTATGTCTCTGTTTATGTTCCTTCTATTTCATGCAGGTTAACAATCCAGGTGGAATAGAATGAGGGTTCTGGTTTGGGGGATAGTTTTAGAGCCCTGTCCTGGGAGCTGGATTCAGACACCCAGCCTCATCAGACCGGAGTGAGGGGTCAAGTGAGCTTCATTGAAGCCTCCAGTCAGGAGAGGATACAGATGAGTGACTTTCCGTTAGTCTCCATTTTATATTGTTTCTTTCCTGAGTTTCCCACTTGTAGAAGACAACACGTCTAGCTCATTGTGTATCTGCTTTCCTGAGGAGCCCGTGCGTCCTCCTGAGGTCCTTCCCACATGGCTTCCTCACACAGCTGTTTTGCCGACGCCCACAGAAGAACGTCTACATGTAGAAGGACCAATTTTGCTCTTTGAACTTTGGAAGTGGTTTTGTGATGTTTGAATTTTCTGTTAGCGTATTGCTCAAGCCCTGCAGAATGTCCGTATGTAGTTCCTCCAGCCAGTCCCCCACCGCAGAATATCCTAATAAATATTGTTTTCTTTTTATTAAAAAAAATGTAGTGGTGTCTTTTTCTTTTCTCTTAATTCATTGGAAAGTGATCTCAAAATCCCGAATGTCAAGATATCTGGGTTTTTGACAGCAGAGGAGGTAAGATTCCCAAGGGTTGAGTGTG